GGGGTCAAAGCCCATCACAATCCCAAGGCACCAGATGAGGAGGGGTTTTGGCTTCTTAGTTTAGTCTGTGGTCCTAGGAAAGCCCCAAATACCACACTCCCATGAGCAAAAGCAGTTAGCTTTCGGCATAATCTGGGTATGAACTAGAATATCAATCTTCTGGAAATAGTATGTCCCCCCTCCCCCAAAGCATCCACTACGTGTTTCCCCGACTTTCTGTGGGTTTATAAGACCCTGCTAATATTCTGTGCCCACTGGCCACTTTTGTCAACCACTGTCTCCAACGGAGGAATAGGGAACTGTGATGGGGAGCTCCTGGCCCCCATGTTGAGCCTCTCCAGGAGAGGAGCTGTGGTCCCTGGTGCAGCGCCTGGTACCAGAGAGCACTGAGCAAGAACAACGCCTGCCCAGGCCGTGTTTCTAACTCCTCCAGATGAATCCGTTCCGCATGCAAAACAAAGACTCTATTTAGGCGCCTGCCCTGCCCTGCCACCTCGCTCTGAATGAGCTCTTGCCCCCCAGCCTGACGTTCTAAGGTCCCCTGGTATGCAGGATAAGACCTCTGACCCCTGTGATCTCTTGGGGATCTCAGACCAGACCCCAGGGGCGAGTGGCCAGCCGCGGCCGCTCTCAAAACCGACGGCGGCGGAGAGGCAAGTTCGGACGACTCGGAGCCTCAGTCTGGCCTGTTGGAACCCCGCAGGCGGGACCCTGACCTGGAGGACCACCGCCTCTCTGCGCCCCCGTGGGGCAGTGGGGGGCGCGACCCGGCGCACGCCGCTTACCTTTGCGGATGAGCGCGGCGATGTCGGGGTCGAACCCCTGGCGGTGGCACTTTCTCCACAGGCCCATGTTGGTGGAGTTGTACTGGCGGCTGCACTCATCCGCGGGGCTCATGGCAAAGAGCTGGCGACGGTTGCGGGCGCGCAGGAGTTTGCCTTCCCAGCGGTCGAGGCGCGCGCGGCTTGCTCGCAGCGGAAGGTTGTTGTTGTTGTTGTAGATGAAGCCCGGGTCCACGCGGCGCGTGGTGAAGGCCTTGCAGCGGTCGCGGTGCTTGCGCGCGTCCGTCTCGTACCAGTGGTCCGAGCAGATGGCCACGGCCAGCATGCCCAGGGCGCAGAGCGCCAGCGAGAGGCCCGTGTAGAGCAGCAGCCTGCCGGCAGCCATGCCTCGGCCGGGCTAAGCCAGGGGCATGTCCCGCGCGGCCTCGCCTTCCTGGGCGCCCTACTGAGGCCCGCAGCGCCGCGGCCCCCGCGCGCCCCCGGGCATCCTCCGGCGCCGCCTCCCTGCGCGGCGCGGGGCCCGGCGCTCCGCTTCCCTCGAGTGACGCCGCTCAGCACCCACCGCAGGGGCTCCTCCTGGGCACAGTGGCGGC